GAGGGGGCGCGGCGAGGGGGACGGGGGAGGGTGCAGGACAGGAGGAAACGGGCGTCTGGGTCCGCCCCCTTCTCTCTCTCTCTCTCTCTCTCTCTCTCTCTCTCTCCTCTCTCTCTCCTCTCTCCTCTCTCTTCTCTCTCTCTCTCTCTCTCTCTCTCTCTCTCTCTCTCTCTCTCTCTCTCTCTCTCTCTCTCTCTCTCTCTCTCTTCTCTCCTCTCTCTCTCTCTCTCTTGCTCTACGACTCTTGCGCTCTGCTCACTCGCTCGCTCGTTGGCTTACTCTACAGCCCGCTCTCTCCCTCTCTCTCTATCCTTAAATATGTAATCTTGTTTTATTTAACAGTGCACTAAGACAAAACTGACTTGTTCCTAGAGCCTTACATACAAAACAAGAAAAATTAAGAGAGAGAGAGAGAGAGAGAGAGAGAGAGAGAAGAGAGAGAGAGAGAGAGAGAAGAGAGAGAGAGAGAGAGAGAGAGAGAGAGAGAGAGAGAGAGAGAGAGAGAGAGACCCGAGCGAGCGAAGAGCTACACCGAGAGAGCGAGAGCGCGCGCCCTCTGACGTGCGTAAGGAAGGGCGGCGAGGCAGAGGGCGCGAGCGAGGGCCCGGCTCGGCCAAATGGTGTATCGCAGAGGGTCGCGGCGCGTGAGAGAGAGCGCTCGCACCCAGTCAATACACACCTCCCGGATATCCCTAAATGGAGGGCCGCTGCATTGAGCGATACGCAGGGGGGCGCGAGAAGGGGGGGGTCTGGGAACGCACATGGGGGGGGGGGTAAGGCAGTCCCATAATGTTGATGATGGTGGGTGAAGGATGATGATGATAATGATGACTGAGGAGAAGAAGAATGAAGAAGAAGAAGAAAGGGGGAGAAAAAGGAAAGACGGGAGTGTGATGGAGGGAGGGAGAGGGATATGAAAGTAAAAGAGATAGATAGATAGACGAGAGAGGAAAGAATGAGAAGAGGAGGAGGAGGAAGAAGAAGCAGATAGATAGATAGAGGAAGGAGAGCAGTAAGCTGGAAAGGTGAGGGGCGAGGGGAGGCGAGGGCAGGGCAGCGAGGGGAAGGCGAAGGGGAAGGGGCGAGGTAAACGGAGGCGAATTCGAGGGGAGGAAAGGAGAGGTAAGGCGGAGGGAAGACGTGGGGAGGAGAGGAAAGGTACGAGAAGGGGAGAGCAGGGGAGGGGAGGAGAGGACACTGAGGCAAGGGAAGGACACGGCTGGCGAGGGGAGGAGAAGAGAGGTTAGGCGAGTGATGAGGGTGGGGAGGAGCGGAGGAGGAGGGAGGAGGAGGAGGAGGAAGGGGAGAGGAGACGGAGGGAAGAAGAGGCACAGGGGGAGGCAGAGGGGAGGCAGAGCTGGCCGCACACACACACGAGGGGCGGGAGGAAGGGGAAACGCAGGGAGGGTAAAGTGATTTATGGTGAAAGGAAAATACAATGTGATTACAACTCGGGGGCGAAAAATGGTGACGGTTAAGGGGTTAGAGGAGGGGAGGGGAGGAGGGGGTGGGAGGGGGTTCCTATGGTAGAAAGTAATAAAGTCTTAATAAAAAATTCAATGCCTGAATATAACGTATAATGAGAAAATTCAATCAAGTTAACGTGAAAGGGAAGGGTAAAGGAGATCAAGCGAGGGAAAGCTATAAAGTGTGACGAGAGAGAGAAGAGAGAGAGAGAGAGAGAGAGAGAGAGAGAGAGAGAGAGAGAGAAGAGAGAGAGGAGAGAAGAGAGAGAGAGAGAGAGAGAGAGAGAGAGAGAGAGGGGGGGGGGGGGGGGGGGGGGGGGAGAGAGAGAAGAGGGGGGGGGGAGAGAGAGAGAAGGTGAAAGATATAGAAAGGGAAAGAAGAGAAAAGACAGAGAAAGACACACACACAATAAAAAAAAACTATATACGGATATAAATCACAAACAACAGTAACGGGAAAAATCAAAATGAATTAAGAAAATTCCTCACGAAGGAGAATGCAAACCGACGAGGAAGAATAAAAATAAAACCACATGAAACATAAATGATAACCCCCCCCCTCCACCCATAAAAAAATCGCAATATGCATTTACGATAAGAGGATAAAGAGAGAATTGGAAATGAAGAATTACAAAACAAAAACAAAATCCCAGTGCCATTAACTTTATTGTGTAGATGAAAACCTAGAACTGAAGGAAATTATACAAAGACTAGAGATAAAAGTCGGAATTAAAAAGGGAGAAAATGAAAAGAGAAAGACAAATGAGGTGCTATATATTATACATACATGCAATATATAATATATATATATATATATATATATATATATATATATATATATATATAATATCACACACAGACAATCCACACACACACAATATATAATATATACATATATTATATATATATATATATATATATATATATATAGTATATATATATAATATATATATATATATATATAATATAGTATATATATATATAGGTAGATAGATAGATAGCTAATGATAGTATGAAATTTAAAGAAAGGGGGAAGAGAGGGAACGGAGAGAGAGAGAGAGAGAGAGAGAGAGAGAGGAGAGAGAGAGAGAGAAGAGAGAGAGAGAGAGAAGAGAGAAGAGAGAGAGAGAGAGAGAGAGAGAGAGAGAGAAGGAGGGGGAGGGAGGGAGGGAGGGAGGAGGGAGGGGGAGGGAGAGGAGGGAGAGGGAGAGAGATAGAAGACGAGAGAGAGAGAGTAGATGAGAGAGAGGGAAAAGACGGAGAGAGAGAGAAAGAGAGAGAGGAGAGAGAGAGGAGAGACGAGCAGGAGAGGAGAGGAGAGAGACAGAGAGAGAGAGAGAGATGAGAGAGAGGAGAGGAGAGAGAGGAAGCGAGAGAGAGATGAGAGAAGAGAGAGAAAGAGAGAGGATGAGAGAGAAGAGATAGGAGAAGAGAGAGAAAGAGAGAGAGAGAGAATGAGAGAGAGGAGAGAGAAGAGAGGGAGAGAGGAAGAGGAGAGAAGAAAGAGAAGAGAGAAGAAGAAGAGAAGAGAAGAGAGAGAGAGAAAGAGAGAAGAGAAGAGAAGAGGAAGAGAGAGAGAGGAGAAAGAAGAGAGAGAGAAGAGAAGAGAAGAAGAGAAAGAGAGAAGAGAAGAGAAGAGAGAGAGAGAGAGGAGGAGAGAGAGAGAGAGAGAGGAGGAGAAGGGAGAGGAGAGGAGAGGGAGAGGAGGAGAGAGGGCGTGGACTGAGAGAGAGAGAGAGAGAGAGAGAGAGGGAGAGAGAGAGAGAGAGAGAGAGAGAGAGTGAGAGAGAGAGAGAGAGAGGAGAGAGAGAGAGAGAGAGAGAGAGAGAGAGAGAGAGAGAGAGAGAGAGAGAGAGAGAGGAGAGAGTGGAAGAGAGAGAGAGAGAGAAGAAGATAGAGAGATGAGAGAGAGAGATTAGCAGAGAGGAACAGAAGAGAAAAGGGAGAGGAGCGTAGGTAGAAGAGAGAGGAGGAAGAAGAGATGAGAGAAGAGAGAGAGAAATGAAGATACGGGCGAGGAAGAGATGATGCAGAAAGATTAGGCGTAGGGAGCAGAGATAAATAATTGAGGGATAGGAAGAGGAGTGAG